GGAAACTTCGGAGAAAATTTTATTTGAAGAGCTGATGTTGTGACTATCAAAATTTGTTTCGTTCCTGATAAAATTCACCTCTACCTGGTCATTCATGGGGAAAATAGGGTCTAGATGAGCACTCACGACCATTCCAACAACTATTTGATTCTTGATGTCAGGCCGTTCCGTGTCTAGAATGAGGATAAACTGCCTCTTATGAGGACTGCACTTGTTCATCTTGTTATTCTGACGAATTGATTGTGTTTTCCGGGCAGCTTCGGGGTCGTGGGTAGCCAGCTACCATGCCTCACAGCCTTGTTGGCCGGCATCGCGACGGCCGCCATGAAGGTCGATTACTTGAAGCCACCGTCGGCGCACGTCCTGCCGTCTGGCATGTTTAGCCACCTTGGCGTGCTACGCGGTGCAGGTCTGCTGCGCCACACTTGTAATGTGGATGATGCGATCCAAGAAAACTCTCGAGGAGCTCCCGCCGTCAGCTGTCAAGTGCTGCCGAGGGGCGCTCTTCACTGGTCTACTGTTCAATCTTCTCTCATTCCTCTCCTTGATATGCATTCGTGATAGTTTCATCTTCGCCAGAGTTTCCACCTTCGCATGCATGGGTGGGTGGGCTAAGGCGGTTCTCATTGCTGGGGACACGGTTATTCCTCTGGTTGGGTTGGCAATCTTCTCTGCGGGAGCTCGCATCACTCTCTACTACAATTAGCTAGTGTGTTGGCAATAATCGTATCCTAATGCAACTAGGATTAAGCTAATTGTGATTAGTATGGCCGGTGATTAGCTAGGTGTCCTAGCTGTATACGCATGGATGTTGTATGGCGTGTTCGAGTAGTCTAGTATGTTGTGTGTTTTATTGGGAAACCAAATCCTCACGGTGTTGAATGTTTATAATCGGTTGTGCTCGTGGCTGATTTTGTCTGTGTTTATGTCTAAGCTCTTTTGGATGTGTCTTCTATTGTCTTCAGATATTTGTTGTAAAAAAATCCAACCTACATTGCGACTCATCAGAAGAATCAACAATATACAATTGAGCAAACTTAGAAGTCATTGCTGGCAAAAGAGAACCAATACGAAGCTACACTGTACCAAATATCTTAAACACATACAGACCACCACCCACATTGACACTCTTGTCAAGCTCAGTAACAAGGGAAGTGAAGCAAAACATAGATTGTAATGCCTAATCAACCGCAAAAACTGAGAAGTGGTCAGCATCAAAAAATAGTAGTCCATTTAGTTGAAATGGCCAAAGGCTCGATACAGTGTGCACAACATCATACAATAGCTGACACATGCTGACTGCCTAATCGTCTAAGGCATTCCAAGATGATGGGGAGACGTAAAATTGCATCTGTCCCAAAATAAGTGTCTCAAGCTTAGTACAAAGTTGGGACAATTATTTTGGGATGGAGGGAGTACATTCTTGTGGATGATTGGATACGTCCCATGAAAACTTCATTAAAGGGTTGACTGCTTGGATTCATGACAAATCTGTGCAATAGGGTTGTATTTTAGTTTGCAGAGAAGTACTCCGTAGAATATATGAAAACTGAATGACATTGTGATTATAATGTTGACTAAACTAAGGAAAGATGTGAGTTAAGATTACTCATAGGTACTGTTACTCCAGAAGTGATGTCCCAACGACTATAAATACAGTTGATAAAAGGAGAGTTTGACTGTTACTTCTGAGCGGTGACTCAGTAATATTTTGAAGCCAAGACATGGTATATTTATGTGACTTAAGAACAAACTCAAAACTGCACATTTACAACTCTGCTAGCATCTACATCTGACCTACACAACACACCCCCTCCATTGTGTGTCGAATGTCAATAAACCCATATCTATCATTTGTAACAAACGTATAGCAACTTGGGGGGCGGGGGGGGGGGGGGCGTTGCCCCCTAGCTTCGGAGGAAACTCCGAAGAAAATTTTATTTGAAGAACTGACATTATGACTATCAAAATTTGTTTTGTTCCAGATAAAATTCACCTCTACATGGTCATTCATGGAAAAATAGGGTCTAGATGAGCACTCACGACCATTCCAACAACTATTTGATTCTTCATGTTAGGCCGATCCGTGCCTGGGATGAGGATAAACTGCCTCTCATGAGGACTGCATTTGTTCATCTTGTTATTCTGACGAATTGATTGTGTTTTCCAGGCAGCTTCGAGGTCGTGGTAGCCAGCTACTGTGCCTCACACCCTTATTGGCCGGCATCGCGATGGCCGACATGAAGGTCGATTACTTGAAGCCACCGTTGACGCACGTCCTGCCGTCTGGCATGTTTCGCCACCTTGGCATGCTGCACAATGCAGATCTGCCACGCCACATAGTGCACAACCATTCTGTGCGTCAAGTCGTCGCGTGTAATTTGCAACTCTGCATTGAAGACAGCCACCCGATCTAGGGCGAGGACCCTCACAAAGACCTTTCGATGGACACCACAATCCATAGAAGGTCCGCCTTGTATACAGTTTGGACTCTTCATACATCATAGTCGCCAGAGTTTAAAACTTTGAGACATTTAGTGAAATTACAAAAAATTGGGAGTGAATTCAACAACACACTCAAAATAGTGCAATCCAGATGGAATTCTGATATATCTAGATGGCAACGTATATCTTCGACCGGTGTTCCGACGAGCATGGACAGGTAAATTTATATATCTCATTATCAGAATATTCAAGGTGCAAGCATTTATTTTGTTATTACTATATTCAAGATAATACTAATATATTCAACTGCATGGATGTGTCTGGCTCTTTTGTTTTTGATTTTATGCTCTCGTGGAATGGTAAAGATTTGAATCGTCCAGTTTGCACAATGAGTATTCTCTATTGCATATTTTTAGACCTTCCATGTGAAATATCCGTGCTAACTATATATATTGTTTATGCAAGATGGTTATGAGTTGAGGAAGAAATTTTATTATACTTGCTCAAATATTGTGCGTATGAACCTAAACATAACAGTTCTGATATTGAGAATATCTTAAGCCCATCAAGTAGATATTAATTCATTACAGATTCTTAGTTGGATCATTGCTCCCTATGTACTTATAGATTATTAGTTGGATCATTGCTTTCAATTATTACCCGATTGTTACTGGCCATTTTTTGTATGCATGTGAAATTTAACATGCATTATATTTATATATAACTTCAACAAAATATTTCAAATGGCCGTGGCAACGCACGTGCGTTCTAGTAGTTATTCTAACACGCAGGAAGATCATGCCTTGAGCCTTGTGGACCATTTCACTAGTTTTTTTTTTTGCTACTATATCAAACCATTATTTTTTGTTGCTACTCCCTCCGTTCCATATTAGTTGTCGCTAAACGGATATATCTAGCACCGAAATATGTCTACATACATCCGTTTTCGCGACAACTAATATGGAACGGAGGGAGTATATATCTAAGCTGTTTGACTTTTACTTTTGAGACCTTTTACAGTACATCAAGTCAATTTGGGCCGTTCATTTCTATGGTTTGAAGGGCCCAGATGAATCAATATTACACATGGTTTTGGGTAGTATATTTACTGATTAAGGGCATTTTGGGTACTTCAATGCTTATTGACAAAGGAAGCTGACGGCCTTAGATTCGTTCCCCAAGCTGGAATGTGCCCCGACACATCGATGTAGAAATGCTAACGTCGCTTGTAAACTCACCGCCGGCCGGATACACAATCACCTCACGCACGTATGCAACAAGAACACACATACACACACAAGAACACACATATTAACCGTTGGATCTGCTTAATACTACCCCTTAAATTCGGTAGTATGATGTACCGTACAAACTCTCTTACTTTTTGTATATCAACGTAGATGTTCGGAGCCGTCCGATGTCTAGTGTCGTGATCACACGGTGATGGGATGGGATCCCACCTCTCCGAGCAAGTTCACAAGCTTGAGAAGGCACTGATGCGAGGACCCTCCCTCTGCAATGCTCGCACAAGCCTTGTCCTTCCACGTCGCAGCCCTCGCCTTGACCCCCTGGTCGCCGAGCAGCCGCACCACCTTGCTCTCGATCTCCTCCTTGGTGACGACCCCTCGCTCGTCTCGGCAAAGCTTGATGCCGGTGCCCCACACGTTGCACACATAGCTCTGGTTGGCGAACTGGTCAGCGAAGTACGGCCAGCACAGGAACGGCACGCCGTGCAGCATGCCTTCCATGGTCGAGTTCCACCCGCAGTGCGACACGAAACAGGCGGCGGCAGGGTGCGAGAGCACGCGCTGCTGCGGCGCCCAGCCAATGACCAGCCCCTTGCCCTCGACGCGGCGCTTGAACGCGTCAAACCAACCTTTTGTGGCTCCGGTGGTGAAATTTGGCCGGACGACCCACAGGAACGGTTGGCCGGAGAGCGCGAGCCCGTCGGCAAGCTCTTGGAACTGCTCGCGTCCAAGATGCCCGAGCTCCCGAAGGCGACGTAGACGACGGAGCAGGGGGCCTGCGCGTCGAGCCAGGCGAGGCAGGTGAGGTCTTCGGGCAGGAAATGTCCGGCCGGCCTCGACGTCGGCGCTACCAGTGGGCCGAGCGGCAGCGCGTTCGGGAGCAGAGCCCGAGCGTCAGGTTCCATCTCCATGGAAGTGTTGCATATGATCGTCTCAGCTAGCGGCATCAACCGGTTGGTCCTGATGACGTTTTGGATGTTGGTTCTCCTCCTCTCAGGCATGCTGCCCAGGCTGACAAGGGATCTCGGCCGCGTCTACGGGCGGCATCAGTTGGACCCTCTCGTTCCTCTTCACGATCCCTGCGTAACGTACGTGGTGTCCATGTTCATGGTGTACAGTCCACATACCAAGAAAAGACCAGGAAACCAACGAGTTACATGAAAATGGAAATTTTGATTTGCTCTTACCACTTTCATTAAGAACGTCGTCCTCGATCAGCTTTGGGAGCTTCAACCTGAGCGTGAACACGGCTGCAGAGTACGTGGAGAACAAGGCGACAGGGACACCCGCCGTGGTGGCCAGCTCCAGCGCCCAGCTCATGGACACGTCCACTATCATCCACTTCGTCTTCCTTGACCTGATCATCTCCTCGAGGCGGCCGGACATGGCGGCCGGCAGTCCCTTGACCAGCGCGCCGATGTCCGTATGGTCGTAGCCAGGCCCCAGGCCGTCTGGAATGGAGAGCATGTGAACTCCTCCTGGGATTGCTCCGTCCTCTTCCAAGGTTTGGAGGACGCGGCCGTGGTTGAACTGGGTGTTCACGAAGTCGATCTCGAAGCCGTGCTCGGCGAGCTTGCGGGACAGCTCCATGAGCGGGATGACGTGGCCCTGTGCAGGAAAGGGCAGCACCATGACACGAGGTTGAGCTTGAGCAGTAGCAGCAGCCATTGAGCTAGGTTGTTCGCGCTAGGATAGAGTATGCCTTGACAAATTTGCAAGAGCAAAGTTTGTCACTCTCAGCGCCTTTTCCTGTTAAAAAAGTTTGTCACTCTCCCTGTGGACGAGGACGACAGGGTTGCCCACACATGTGCATATATAAGTGTCTGCCAGACTAATTGATGTTGCATCAGGGATTGCATCAGCTCATCTCTAGTCAACTGACCACATGTTTGTCTTCTTCAAAGAAAAGGTTATCCGGGTAATGACTCATATGATCCTGTTGATAAAATTTTATGTGGAGTGGAGTGTGGACCAAGTTGTTGTCTCTATCATGTTGGAATATGTATATATTTCAGTTGTTAGGGATTGTTCGAAATTAGATAGGAATTCTTTCCATCTTATCTTTAGGAGGCTTTTTACCCACGAGGCTCAATACAACACACAACCCATTGTGTTGAGTCTCTCACCTCTAATCCTCTTACAATTTGATCTCCTTATTTTGGAAAAAAGATGACTGTAGCTGAATTTTGTACCCGCAACCGCAACTAATCACTGGAATGTAAATGATTTGTGTGTTGGCTCATGGAGCTTTGTTGCGGTGGCCAGCCAAGTGTTGTGGCTGGTGGCTTCTTCGGTGACATCGCGGCATGCGGGGTCCGGATCAAGTACCCGCCACCTTCACCAGCCGACTTGATGTCGTCACATGCATCGCTGACAGCGCAGTCTACAACACACTTTACTTGTCCTGCTTTTGCGGCCATGATGTCCCGTGCCATCCAGGTGTGCAACGTCGTGTTCTTCATATGGATCCTCGGCTCCGGGAAGACGGTGGACAAGCTGCCACCGTCCAAAGGCAAATGGTGCCGCCGGCTGCACTTGGCCAACATCGATAGGGAGGGGGCATTGCCCCCTCCGTGCTATATTTGTTCAATAGTTGTTTAACATTGAGCGCGTGTCTCTTATAATTATTATTTGTATTATATAATTACATATACATGGTAAATTCATAAACGAGTAACAAACAGCGGCTACAACAAGACGATTGAAAGGAGAACACCTAAAACCTAACAGCGCGAGCACACGGGATCCGCAAATACTAACAACTCATGCGAGCACACAGAATCCACAAAAAAACTACACGAGCCACGAAGCAGAACCAACTGCTAAATACTCAAATAGGAACAAAATCTACAACACAGACGCACGAACACACTACTAGCAACAAACACCAGACCTAGATCTGGAAGCTGCACAACCACAATCATGAAAAATCGCACGCGTGAAGAGAGAGATAGAGAGAGACAAAAACTAACGAGGGAAGCAGGGAATCGAAGAGGAAGATCAAGATTCACCAGAGAGGGATCTCAAAAACGCAAGGAACCCAAGGGAATCGCCTCGACTCCTTCGCCTCTCGAACACCTCCTCTGCCACTCCGCCCTTTCGAAACAATACCGCCCAAATGAAATGGGGAAAAAATTCAAAAGGGCACACGGGGGAGACTGTAACGGACAGGCCCGCAATAAACCCGCGCCGGCCAAAAGAAAACCGCACCAGACCACACCTGACAAAAGAAACCCACGACTGAAAACAACAACTCTCAGCGCGAATCTCAGCGTGAGATCAGGCAGGCACAAACTCGAATGATAGCCGATTGAAAAACACTCGAGTGAAAAATAGCAAATCCGTTTGTTTTTGCGGTGGCCGGCCTGTGCTCCGAGTCGGCCGTTCCGTCAAAACACCTCTCGCGCGAGATCCTTGTCAAGCAGGCCCTGCCATCCATTTTGATAGCGTGTCTATCTCTAATGATGCAGTTCATAGCCGAGAAGGACTGGTTTCTTCCCCCGTGCATCGGACAGCACAACAGTTTCGAGGTTAAGGGCCTATTCGGTTTGGAGGATTTTCATAGGAAACACATAGGAATAAGGATCCCGGAGGAAAATTTTCTATAGATGCATTCGGTTTGTAGGAAATGTGTACAGGAATTTTGTAGGAATACTATTCATTTCCTATGCTTTTGAAGGAAATTACACATCCACTCAAAGCTTATTTTACGTGTAGGAACGAGACGAGTCAATTCCTTAGAATGACAAGTGTCATTCTATAAAATTCCTATACTAGTACTAATTCCTACGTTATAAAATCCTTCAAACCGAATGAGGCCTAAGAAGTAACAATATCGATCGATCATTGTTGTCTTAGCAAGCTGACAAGCTTGAGCAAGTTCACATGCGAGGATCCTCCCTCCCGGATGCTGCCGCACGCGACCTCCTTCCACGCCGCCGCCCTCGCCTTGACCCCCTCGTCATCACTGAGGAGCCGCGCGACCTTGCTTCAGACCTCCTCCTTTGCGAGTTGCGACGACCCCTCGCCCGTCTCGCCGGAGCTTGGCGCCGGTGCCCCACATGTTGCACACGTAGCTCTGGTTGCAGAACTGGTCGGCGAAGTAGGGCCAGCACAGGAACGGCACGCCGTGCAGCTCGCCCTCCACGGTCGAGTTCCACCCGCAGTGCGACACGAAGCATGCCACGGCCGGGTGCGAGAGCACCCGCTGCTGCGGCGCCCAGCCCACCACCAGCCCCTTCGCCTCCACGCGGCGCTTGAACGCGCCGAGGTCGAACTGATCCTGCCCTGCTCCGATGGTGAAGTCTGGCCGGACCACCCACAGGAACGGCCGGCCGGAGAGCGCGAGACCGTCGGCGAGCTCTGGGAACTGCGTCGTGTCCAGGAAGCCGGAGCTGCCGAAGGCCACGTAGACGACGGAGCCGGGGGGCTGTTCGTCGAGCCAGGCGAGGCAGGCGAGGTCCTCGGGCAAGAAGTGTCCGACCGGCCTCGGCGTGGGCGCCACCAGCGGGCCGAGAGGCAGAGCGTTCGGGAGGAGGGCCAGAACGTCGGGCTCCAACTCCATGGAAGTGTTGCAGATGACCACCTCGGCGAGTGGCCATCGTCAGGTTGGTCTTGAGGACGTTCTGGATGTAGTTTCTGCGCCTCTCAGGGGCGCTGGTGCTGGCCAGGCTGACCCAGGGGATCTCCGACGCGTCGATGGGCGGCACCATTTGGATCTTCCCCTCCCCCTTTACATTCCCTAAATAAATTGGCTCCATATTCTCAGTTGATCTTAACCATACCAAGAATGAAAATGTTTGATTTGTTCTTACCACTTTCATCAAGAACGCCATCCTCTATCAATTTGGGGAGCTTCATCCTGAGAGCAAACACGGCTGCAGAGTACGTCGAGAACGAGGCAACGCGGGCACCCGCGGCGGTGGCCACCTGCAGTGCCCAGCTCATGGACACATCCACGATCACCCACCTAATATTCCTGGATCGGATCATCTCCTCGAGGCGGCCGGACATGGCGGCTGGCAGGTCCTTGACAAACTTGCCGATGTCGGCGTGGTCGTCTCCGGGGCCCAGGCCGTCCGGAATGGTGAGCACGTGGATCCCATCAGGAATTGCTCCCTTCTCTGCCATTGCTTCCATGACGAGGTCGTGGTTGAACTCGGTGTTCACGAAGTCTACCGCGAGGCCGTGCCCAGCGAGCTTGCGAGACAGCTCCATGAGCGGGATGACATGGCCCTGTGCGGGGAAGGGTAGCACCATGACACGAGGTTGAGCAGCAGCACCAGCAGCCATGGAGGCTGTCTAGAATAGTGTGTGAGCTCAAGAAGTTTGCAAGTTCAAAGCTTGACACTCCGTGTGGAAAGAGATAACCCATCACGTGAGCGTATTTGAAGGGGTGCACACAATTATTTGATATTCGTCAGTGCTTGTGTCAGCAGATTCCCAGTCTGATGACCATATGTTTATCTCTAATTAAGCAGCGGTTATCTTGGGTTTTGTTT